GGTGGGCACAGTTAGGCAGTTAAGGGACCCGCAGAGGAGGCAACGCAGCCTGCAGAGAATCATAGCAAAATGGGGCTGGAAGGGACCTAGCCAAAGCCCCTGCCTGAAGCAGGATCATCCCTGTCCAAAGCATCCTAAACAAATCCGAATCGCGCCCCCATTCGCAATGCAGCCCGACGGCTACTAGGTGTCACTCTTGCTTTACGCACAGGTCAACCTAGCTGACGCAACGTTAGCGCAAAGCAGCCAGCCGTGAGACCGAGACAGCCAGCCAAGCCAACTGCCTCGTCCAGATTCATGCTGCCCACCTGCAAGTGCTCAGAGGCCTGAAGTCTCCTGCAGGAGCACAGGCTTCGGTGGTAATATCGTTAGCATTATCAATGCTGCGCTTATCCCAGCGGCTGGCAGCTGCAGCCGTGCGCGAGCTTGGAGCCAGCGCCGCCTCAGTGCAAGAGCCCAGGGCTGCGTGCATGGGGCGTGCAGCCTGCGGCCACCCCACGCTGCTTCGTTCCTCACCTGTGTGGTGATTCAGAGTGTCCTTGTGGGAAGGCAGGGCTAGGATTCAGAGTGACCTGAATGGATTGGGCCAAAAGAAATCTCACGAGGTTCAACAAGGACAAGTGCAAAGTCCTGCGCTTAGGAGGGAGCAATCCCCTGCTCCAGTATGGGCTGGGGGGACAGGCTGGACAGCAGCTCTGCAGAAAAGGACCTGGGGGGACAGGGGACAAGAAGATGTCGGAGCCGGCATTGTGTCCTTTTTACCATGAAGGCTAATGGCATCCTGGGCTGCATTGGCAGGAGCGTCGCCAGCAGATTGAGGGCAGTGATTCTTGCCCTCTATTCAGCACGGGGGAGGCCACATCTGGAGTCCTGTGTCCAGCTGTGGGCCCTCCACTACAGAAAGGATGTGGACAAGTTGGAGAGAGTCCAGCGGAGGGCAGTGAAAATAACTTGGGGGCTGGAGGGACATGACTTACGGCATGACCCAATCCCCCTCCCTGCCTCTCAGATCCCCCCTTTCATCCTGACTTTAAAGCACCTGGAGAATCAGCAGATTCACTGCTGGAGCTGACAGCCCCCCTCCGGGAAGAGCGGCTGCACACCGACGCTGCGTAGTTCATGCAGGATTTGTCCTCACTGGACAAATTACTCCAATGCCTCTGGCTTTCAACGTGCAGGATTTCACCTAAAGTGAGCTTGGCAGGCCTCTCGCATTCTCGGCATGTCCTTCTAGAAATAGAAAGCCGACAGAGCTTAGGATAGGTAATACCACGATGAGCCCCAAGGGCTGTAATCGCATCTCCAGCCTACAAGCAAATCACTGCGCGCTTGCCAACTCGAGCTGCAACCTTGCCTCTCTCTGCCAGAAATGTGCCCCAAACTTAACGCGACTTTGGGTATCTCACAAAGCAGATTTTATATGGAATGAGCAGATTATGATTTTTAAGCAGGGAGGGAGGGTTGCCTAATGCCTATTTGTGAGACAGAGGAGCTGCTCTCGTTCCAAAGTAATCCCAGCTCCAAAGTAAACCCTCTTCCAAATTAATCCCAGACAAGCACGGCTCTGGGGGAGCTCTTCCTCCTGGAACAGACTGGGGATCCATTAAACAGCTGGGGCAGCTGATCAAAGCCCCTTGAACACAAGAGAAAGACGCCCATTAACTTTGGAGCAGGCCCTCAAGAAGGAGCACAACACTACGGACAACATGCAAGACCTTGCAGGTAATCCTGCTGCTATGCCTTGTGCCGGGTATTTGATAGACGTGGGCAGTGGCGGGCAAAGCACCGGGCCTTCATAATGCAGTAGACCCTGCCCAGCGTGTGGTTCGGTACTTTGATGGGTTTGCCAGGTGCCCTCAAACGCGCAAGGCCAGCAAGGCAGTACAAATGGAGCCTGGGCAGGGGTGGGGACTGCTCCAGTTCCAGAGACTCGACAGCACCCAGTCTCAATGCGGAGAAAACAGGATCTTTTTTTTATTAAAATAGGAGCATGGGATTCCAAAAAAAAAAAAAAAATATGAGCATTTTTCTGAACCAAAATGTTCCTGACAATCACAAGCTGCGGCAAACAGGGGTGCAGAGCTCCACAGCCCCAAGCAGACAAGCTACGTTTGATTAAAGCGGTGGACGGGACAGAGCTGTTGTACGGGAGAGCTAAGGTCTCGTTTCAATGCGCTGGGTACGAAGGGGACCCACTCCGGGGCCTTCCGGTGGACTGGACTTCACTTCTGTCTTCCAAGTGGGAGAGGGATAAATCCACAGGACTCTTTCCCAGTCTGGCTTCGCGGGCTCACGCAGATAACACAAGGAGATCCTAGTAAAACAGATAATCAGAGCGTCGAGCTCAGGCCTTGAAGCAAAAGAAAACACCTGCCCTTCGAGCGAATCCAGGGGTCTGTTCCTTTGCCAATGGATCCCAGGGTCAGGAAACACTGCGGGTGGACGTGAAGGTACAAATCTAGCTAAGGTCCATGGTGCACATCTTAGGAGGGACTTGTGTTGCTTCCACGGTGCACGGCAGGGTGCCAAGGGGCATGTCCCTGCCCACCCCATTCATGCCAAGCACGGGCACGAGGCAGTGAGCAGAGGTTTCTGTCTCGGGATGCTAGGGAACAGGAGACAGGAGACAGCAGCGGGGCTCCTGGCCTTACCCCTGGGTTTTGCACAGAGATCAGGAGCAATGTAGACCTCTCCCATGTCTCAAATTGACCATTAAAAGAGGCTAAACCCAATCAAGGGGGACGCAGCTTTGGAAACACCTCGTCCTCCCTGCTCCAATGTTGCATAATAACCAAAACACACATGCCCGCAGAGTCTTTCTCCCTGGGAGTCTGAGGACCAGTGACGTGCCCCAGGAAGATGCAGCCCAGGCTGGTCACACTTACTTCAATGATATCGATATCAGCGTTGTTAAAGTCAATGTTGAGCAGCTTGGGGAGAGGGACACCTTCTCCCAGCACGCCTGCAAGGAAGAGCAAGAGTCGGCGTCAGTGCTTCGGATGGAAGGAAACGGGAGCATCCCTCCACCCTGTCCTCAGCTGGCCCCATGTCTACTCCAGCTACGTCCCCTGCAGCTTCTGCTCACGCCCCCTGAAACATCCCCCTGGGATGAAAGGGCTGTCATCAAAACGCATGCCCGGAGTCAGTTGTGCGAGGCGGCGTACCCTCTATGTTTCAGGAGTGATTTCCTTCCCTGATGCACAACATGCAACCCCC